AAGGGATAATATTGGGGGATAGGAGGGGAGTCCGGGGACATTATTTCTCTCTTTGCTTGCCTCTCTATCTCTGTGATATCTGTATTGAATCCCCAATTATCTCACCATCCTTCCTCATCCGTTGTATTCCACGAATGTTCGTTGTATTGTTTGTAATGTGATTATCTCTTCTGATCATCTGCTCCATCTACAGCCCATAGTTCAGTATTCTTTTTTTTTTTCAGGTATTTCAGGAACATACGGTATTATGGCCACTAGATGGAGCTGACGATCATAGGAGATACTTATATTACAGGCAGTGCGGCATGCATTCACGGTGCCGGTGTGAGGGGTTAAGACATCCACACAGCCAATGTTTTATACACAGAGATCTCAGGGATTCCTGATCTTAGTAGAGCTGATTAACTAGAGGAGATCATTTTCACAGGAAACCAAAATCCCATTTATTTCCTCTGCACAGGATTCGGTGAGGAATTCGGCTACAATTTAATAATTGAAGATGATTAACTCCTTTAGTAAATCATCATCATTGTCTGACACATGAGGCTGAGAGACCTGCAGTCTATAAATATCAGTAGATCCAAGGGAGGCGTGGGTGAAAACCTTCATTCTCTTCTCCTGGAATCCCCAAAGTCTAACCAGCAGTTTAGTAAAGATTCAGCCAGTGCAACAGCATTGTGAGCCAGTGAGGACTGCATTGCACAGAGCTGTCAGTCTAACACTACAAGCATGCACACAGGAGGGTAGAACACAGGGGTAACCTCACTGCTGTTCCTTCATTGTCCGACCAAAGGCGAAGGGGGGGGGGGGGTGTCCTTGACCAAGCTGCTGCTTTGGGGGGGTGCAAGACCTGGCTGTGTTGTCTGGCAGAGGTGCCTGGATCACAATCCTGCCTGGCCAGGATTGCAAACCTTGTGGCAGGTAAGGCAGTACTTTCCTTTTCCATTTTCGTTTTTCCTTTAATGTACCCCCTTCAGTGGGTCCTGGGCAATGGATATGGGGGGGGGTACCACCAGTCCTCCTGTATGGGGGGGCCAAAGCCAGCAGGGGGGTGCAGGTAGCTGGGTGAATCAGATGAGGTCAAGGAAGGGAGATTGGCATGGTGGTGGGGCAGGGGCGTCACTAGGCTGGTGCAGGGGGTGCGCGCCGCACCGGGTGACGCCTACCACACGGGGTGACACCGGACCTGCTCCACAGATCCACAGATCGGAACCATCCTGCGGGGATCGTCGGCATGCAACCTATACGGGGTGACACCGGACCCGCTCCACGAATAGGTAAGTTGTAAAGAAAGCCGACAATCCCTGCAGGATGGATCGGATCTGCGGATTTAGCATAATGGACCGGAGTCCGACCCATTATGTGCAATCCGCAGATCCCATCCATTCTGCGGGGATCATCAGAGGGGGTGTCACCAAGTGTTATCGCACCGGGTGACACCAACCCTAGGGACGCCCCTGGGGAGGGGGGAAATTACTGGAACCGATCCCTGTGTGGCCCTCTCTGCAGCTGCTGAAAGCCAGCTTCTTCTCTTCTCCCTCCCGCTGGCTTTCAGCTGCTGCAGAGAGAGCCATACAGGGGATCGGTTCCAGAAATTACCCGCCCCCCCGTCGCAGCACCCATCACCCTCCCTGTGCACCATACGGTTCCCTCTTCTGCCCAGGACCCCCGTACGCCCCCCCATCCCACAGTGCTGCCGGCTTCCCTCCTCTCCTTCCCACCGGCACCTGCAAGCGCACAACAGGAGAGTGGGGGAGCGGTCCGGTAAATATGTCACATTTACCAGCCTCTTCCTTTCCTGAATGAACACTATGAGTGGTCAGTACCAATCACTTTCTGTGTTCATTCATAACTGAAGCATAGTAAACTGTTTTTGTTTTTTTTGGGGGTGGGGGGGGGGGGGGGGGGAGCTTGTCAGGTGTGCTGTATGGGGCCCCATTATCTCTAACAGCATCCCTGAGTGGGTCCATGATTATTGAGCAGAGCAAAGTGCAGTAACCCATAGCAACCAACCAGATTTTCTTTTGCTTTCCTCCCTTAAAGGAATCGTCCTTTACCCTCTGTGTGGGTTCATCCTCTGCCCTTGGTAGGTTTCCTACAGCCGACAGAACCAGTATTTCCACAATTATATTATAAATATTGATGCTTAAACAGATCTGTGTTACCTAATGTCCCCATTAGTTGCTCCCATTACTCCCAGATGAACCACATGACATTCACATGATGGAAGTCTATGGCGTCAGCAGCAGCAATGTTCCTTCATACCGCGAGCAGCACTGAAGCCGATCCATCACAGGAAGAGTAAGATCAGATCAGACCAGAAACATTGTTACATACAACTTTTTATACTCTTTAAACTGCTGTTGCCAAGTAGGTATCAGTGGAAAATCAGCACTCGAGAGCCCTGGACATTGTAGATTATCTCTGCTTCTTGTGGGAATTTTGTATTACATTGTGACATTAAAGCCGAACTCTGGGCAGATATAAGGCCTAGTTGCAGTTGTTGGTGGTGATGGTGGTGATGGTGGTGGTGGAGGGTAAAAACAAGTGGTTTAGCCACATCTATAGACACGAGTGGCAAGAATGATCCCACCCACTGAATGCAACCCATTCACGTAAATGGGGGCCCCACCACAACTGCATTTGCTGCATGTGGTGCAGGCTTTTTGGAGTTAAAAGAAGCAGTGGGGAGGTAAGACATCACCTCCTAGCTGCCTAAAAGGTGAATGACCACAGATCACTCTTCAGAAGGCAATGCTTGTGTACAGTTGTGCTCAAAGGTCTGCCTCCCCTTAGTCCCTAATCCTGTGTAGCGCCCCTTTCAGCATCAATGACAGCATGTCTTCTCCTGTAATAGTTGTCTATGAGGCCCCCAAATTCTTGCTGGTGGTAGAGCCGCCCATCCATCTTGGCAAAATGCCTCCAGGTCAGGTCATGCAAAGTCTTTGGTGGTCTTCCATGAACCGCAAGCAAAATGCCTCAGGCAAAAATGTCATGCAAAGTCTTTGGTGGTCTTCCATGAACCACACGTTTGAGATCTCCCCAGAGCGGCTCGATGATATGAAGGTCAGGAGACCATGATGGCCGCTCCAGAACCTTCACCTTCTTCTGCTGTGTCCACCGGAGGTTCAGCTTGCAGGCTCCGGCGATGACGGGCTCCGGCTTGCGCTTGGGGTCATTGTCCTGCTGGAAAGTCCAAGAGCGTCCCATGCTCAGCTTTCCTGCAGAAGAATACAAATTGTCTGCCTAGCTGCATTCATCTTGCCATCAATTCTCACAAGATCTCCCGTGCCTTTAGAGGTCACCCCCCCCAAAACATTCACCATCCACCACCATGCTTCACAGTAGGGATGGTATTGTTGTCACTACTGACCCCTCTCCAAACATGGTGCTAATGGTTGTGACCATAAAGCCCTGTTCCGGTCTCGTCACTCCAGATTACAGTGCGCCAGAAGCTGTGAGGTGTTGTCGGGCATATTGTACCCTGGTATTTGGTGGCATTGGCGCAATAAAGGCTTCTTTCTGAGAACTCCACCATGCAGCTCATTTTTGTTCAAGTATCTTTGTATTGTGCTCCTTAACAAACAACCACACCGTCTTTTTCCAGAGCAGCCTGTGTTCCTCCTGTGGGATTTTTTTTCTTTTGTATTCCAGACAATTCTTCTGGCAGTTGTGACTGCGATCTTTCTTGGTCTCCCTGACCTTGGCTCGGTGTCAGGAGATCCCCGAATTTTCCACTTCTTAATAAGTGATTGAACAGCGCTGACTGGCAAATTCAAGGCTTTGGATATCTTTTTATATCCTTTTCCATCTTTATAAAGTTCAATCACCTTGTTATGCGGATCTTTTGACAGTTCTTTTCTGCTCCCCATGGCTCAGTATCTAGCCTGCTCGGTGCATCCACATGAGAGCCAACAAACTCATTGACTATTTATACACGGACACTAATTGCCATTTAAAAAGCCACAGATGTGGGAAATTAACCGTTTAATTGCCATTGTACCCCGTGTGTGTCCCCTTGTGTGCCTGTACCGAGGCCAAACATTCCAGGAGGCGGAGACTTCTGATCCGAGGGAGGAGACTTCTGATCCAGGGGTATTACTGTTCTCATTAGGATTTAAAAAGGAGCCAAACAATGATGTGATCATAAATGGCGTCATATCATCATCACTAGCCTTACATAAAAGAGTTTTTTTGGCATGATTATTTTTTTTTCAATTGTGTAACTTTATTGCTATCACAAGAGGGCTAACAATGTATCCTGGCCCTCCACTGCAGCTAATCAGGCACAGATCATGCTTGGTTAGCGGCTTCACTGGCGACAGTAGCCAAGGCATGACACCCTGGAAGTGACACAATCCTTGTTGCTTCCACATTCCAGGATCACAGGGCATCCGCTCAGTGTCGGGACAAGATCACCCAGGGCAAAGATGCCAAATTGTGGTCCCTTCATTATGTGCTATGGGGAGAGAGAGCACAGGCGGCGCCTCCTCCCGGCTCTCTTCTCCTCTCCTTGTTGTTTCCAGCGCTGAGCTGACAAAAGAAGTGATAGTGACGTCACTACAACTGTCAGCATTTATAGTAGGAGGAGCTTGTGGCACCCCCCATTTCTAAAATACATGCTGTGTCCAGGGCAGCCGCCCCTTCTGCCCACCCCTTGTCCCAGCCCTGCATCCGCTAGGCATCCTGAAGCCATTTACTCCTGGGAACATCAGCAGGTGCCGCTGGTGAGAGGGGATGGGGGCACTCTTCTATGGCCTATGCAGTGGTGTTCTGAGGCAGGTGAGGGCAGGGGCGGACTGACAACTCATAGGGCCCCTGGGCAATAGGGGATCATGGGGCCTCTGTGTCCTTGCCCACACTCCAAAAAGCCTATAAAAAAGATACCAGGGGCATTTCATGGGGCCCCCTACTGACCTTGGGCCCTCGGGCAGTGCCTGAGTGCTCGAATGGTCAGTCCGCCCCTGGGTGCGCGCTACACCAGGTGAAACCTAGCTGACGTCCCTAGGGTTGGTGTCACCCGGGGCGGTAACACTTGGTGACACCCCCCCCCAATGATCCCCGCAGAATAGATGGGATCTGCGGATTGGGGAGCATAATGGATCGGACTCCGATCCATTATACTCAATCCGCAGATCCGATCCATCCTGCAGGGATCATTGGAGGGGGTGTCACCAAGTGTTATTGCACCGGGTGACACCAACCCTAGGGACGCCCCTGGGCCTATGGCATTACAACACAGCAGTCAGTGTGCGATGCAGTGGGATCACTGCAGTGCCAGGGCACCAATCGCAGCACATCGCACTTTTCACTTTAAAAAAAAAAACTTTATTGAAATAGTGACATTTCATTAAATGCTATTGGCTGCCGCACAGTGCGAGGCAATGAATTGCCTTGCGCTGCACTGAAAAAGTATGGCCTGCAGTATTTTTTTTTTTTTGCAGCACTTAGGAGGCGTGGCATTTTGCCTTGTCTTGCGGCGATATTGCGCCCAACGCAGTTCCACCGCACCTGGTGGGAATGGGCTCTCAATGTACTGTTAGCCTTCATTCATGCGTTTGGACCAGGGGTAGGCAACCTGAGAACCGCAGGACTACAAGTTCCATCATGCCTCTGCAAGTCAAGCTGTAACTGTCAGTTTTGTCATCTTTGCAATGCCTCATGGGAAATATAGTTCCACAACAGCTAGAGAGCTGCAGGTTGCCTACCCCTGGTTTGGACAGTTCCAAAAAAATCGCACCCCATCGCCAGCAACGGAACCGTTCAAATTGCCACGAGCCGCGGCGACTTTGAAAGCGGTTCCTGCATTCCCTCCCCCCCCCCTCCGATTTCACCGCAACTTGCATAGACTTCTGTTAAGCAAAATTAAACCGGAGGTGCAAATTGCACGCCGACCCGCATTTTTAAAGTCGCGCGATTTCAGCGCCGCACCGGTCGGGCGGCTCTACATCCTGGAGCACTTTTACGTGGCTGGAAAAAAAAAAATCAAGCGGCCGCGAGCTTGCTTCAACGGCGTGACTACCATGGCGTTTATAAATGTGTCTTGGTAGACGAGGGGTTAAAGGGGTCGACCTTTATCTCGTTCACAACGCGTTCGATCATGTGGTTGAAACGCGTCATCCAGTTTTTTTTTTTTATCCTTTTTTTTTTTTTAATACATACACCTGCCTTGTTGTAAAACGGATTATAAGAACGGATTTCATTTTCTATTGCGGTTGTGCTGATCAAAGAGCGCGGAATGCGTCGGGCGATGATGGCGGCACAGAAAATGGAATTGCGGCTTTGAAACACTCGGAGTGTCCGCGGTAATCCACTGAACCCACTTCATTCCAGAAAGCTGCTTATCCGGCCCCTCTAATCCCGGGATTACAGCGCGACGAGGCACCCGTTGTTCGCCGGGCGGGGCGGCAGGAATGGCGGACACCCCCTCCCCCCGGGGCGGGAAGGGTTAACCCCATTGACAGCTTCTAGGAACTCCGGAACAGAGGGGACATTGTTCTATAATGTGATCCCCCCCCCCCCCCTCCAGGTCAGCTATATACACTGCGGGGATTACAGCAAACTGCAGCTGCGATCTTTAAAGAGGACCGATCGTTAAAACGCACAAATCCCTCCGACACAAGTCAGCATTCCCAATTCATTCTATTCGGATGCCCAGCAAAACTCGCCTGACCCAAATCCTCAGCAGAGGTCACAGGATACCTGGATAGCAGGAGCATTGTGAGCGTTTCACATGATTAGAGACCCAGGAGTGTCAATCAGATAGAGCTCCGCCTCCTTTCCCGGCTGGTGGACGTCCGACATCCTCTAGCTCTTTCCTCCCCAGCCTGCCGGCCTGTTGGTCCCTGGCCCCGCCCAGTCCCATATGGAAGAAAAATATATTTGAAATATATTTTAAAAATATTCTTCCCAAATATACTGACATATGTTTGAAATGTTACAATTTTGGCCGTATTCAATATATATCAACATATATTTCAATAAATATATATACACTGTCTGTTGAAATGCGTTTTTATTACACAATATATGAAAAATATTTTTAAAAAATACATTTCAAATATACTGTATGTCTTTAAAAATTCAAATCTACATTTTACATTTACAGATATATGTTAAAATGATGTTTATATATGTTAAAAAAAAATCTGAAGAATATATTTTTTTAAAATATATTCTTCAGATTTTTAAAAAATAATAATAAATAAAAAAAAAAAAAAAAAAAAAAAAATAACAAAAAAAAAATAAAAAAAAAAAAATATATATATATATATATATTGTGAAATATATTGAATATGGCCAAAATTGTAGAATTGTAGCAAATATATTTTAAAAATACTCTTCCCAAATATATTGACATATGCTTGAAATGTTACAATTTTGGCCGTATTCAATATATTTCAATAAATATATATATATATACTGTATGTTAAAATGTGTTTTTATTATAAAATATATGAAAAATATTTGAAAAAATACATTTCAAATATACTATATGTCTTTAAAAATACAAATCTACATTTTACATTTGCAGATATATGTTAAAATGACGTTTATATATGTAAAAAAAAAAAATCTGAAGAATATATTTTTAAAAATATATTCTTAAGATTCTTTAAAAATAATAATAAGTAATAATAAAAAAAAAATATATATATATATTGAATATGGCCAAAATTGTAGCATTGTAGCAAATATATTTTAAAAATACTCTTCCCAAATATATTGACATATATTTGAAATGTTACAATTTTGGCCGTATTCAATATGTTTCAATAAATAGATAAATATATATATATATACGCTGCATGTTCAAATGCGTTTTTATTACAAAATATATGAAAAAATATTTGAAAAAATACATTTCAAATATACTGTATGTCTTTAAAAATGATGGCTGGTGGGAGGGGCTGTACATGGCTACCTGAAAACATCACAGCTCCCCAGCCCTGATGTAAGCAGTGGGAGGAGTTATGCAAATATCAAAATGTCTTGGTGGGCGGGTGTCAGTCTGGAGGAGTGGGTGTTTCTAGGAAGGCTGTATTTGCATTGATAACACCCACAGGTGATGCTGAGCCTCTATGATTGACAGAACTTGAATCCGATGAATAAAAGGGGCGGAGCCAAGGAGAGTCAGGTTGGGGATGAAAGCACTAGATGCTGCTAGACGTCCCCCAGCCAGGAAATGAGGCGGAGCTCTATCTCACTGGCTGCAGCTTCTAATACACATTGTGAGAAGCTCCCAGTGTGCAGTGACATCAGAGGAAGCCGGTCCAGTCCAGGGGAGGAGCCACCTGTGCAAGACTGAAGGGGAGGAGCCAGTACACCTGTGCAAGACCGAAGGGGAGGAGTCGGTACACCTGTGCAAGACCGGAAGTGGAGGAGCCGATACACCTGTGGAAGACTGAAGGGGAGGAGCCAGTACACCTGGGAGGAGCCGTTACAACTGTGCAAGACTGGAGGGGAGGAGCTGGTACACCAGTGCAAGATTGAGAGGGAGGAGCCGCTACACCTGTGCAAGACTGAAGGGGAGGAGCCAGTACACATGGGAGGAGCTGGTACACCAGTGCAAGACTGGAGGGGAGGAGCTGGTACACCTGTGCAATACTGGAAGGGGAGGAGCCGGTACACCTGTGTAAGACTGGAAGGGGAGGAGCCGGTACACCTGTGCAAGATTGAGAGGGAGGAGCCGCTACACCTGTGCAAGACTGAAGGGGAGGAGCCAGTACACCTGGGAGGAGCCGTTACAACTGTGCAAGACTGGAGGGGAGGAGCCAGTACACCTGGGAGGAGGAGCTGGTACACCAGTGCAAGACTGGAGGGGAGGAGCTGGTACACCTGTGCAGGACTGGAGGGGAGGAGCCGGTACACCTGTGTAAGACTGGAAGGGGAGGAGCAGGTACACCTGTGCAAGACTGGAGGGGAGGAGCCGGTACACCTGTGTAAGACTGGAAGGGGAGGAGCCGGTACACATGTGCAAGACTGGAGGGGAGGAGCCGGAACACCTGTGCAAAATTGGAGGGGAGGAGCCAGTACACCTGTGCAAGACTGAAAATCAGGGATTGGGGGGAGGGGGCGGGGTGAATTATTCATAAGACTCGTTCAGCTGTGTGTGTACATTGAACTTCAGCTATTGAGCTCTGTAAACAAAGGATTTTTCAGCTAAGCAGTTGTAAGTAGCCTGATACTTGTAAAGGAGCCCAAAGCTGCGCCCCCTGGCTGTAAATGTAAAGTATATCTCAGCTCTGTACAAACCCCAGACGCAGTAATGTGCGTTGTTGGTGATATTCCCGCTGTCAGCCATGGCGCTCTCACCTCCCAGCAGCCTTTCCCCAATGACCTTGTACCACCCCCGGCCCAGCTCTTACCCCGCCCCCTGCTGGCTGCGGTGAGTGGTGGTGGTTGCACCCCGAGGTCACAATGATTACAACTTCAAACACTTTCACATAATCTGCTTATTGTATCTCCGGCTGCAGATTTCACAGCATCAGGCGGGAAAAATATCAAAAAGATTTCATTCGAGCAGCCCCCATACATGAAACTCGATTGTTGGGTCTTCACATCAGGGCCCCCCCCTTACATCAGTGTCCTCACCAGAGTGCCCACCTTAACATTAGTGTTCCCATCAGAACCCCCCGACTCCTGTGCGTTAGTTACCTCTAAACCAGGCACTGGCTGCAGCGTGTTACATACTCCTGACCTCAGCGTTCTGTGTGTTATGTACTCCTGACCCCTACGCTCTGTGTGTTATGTACTCCTGACCCCTAGACTCTGTGTGTTATGTACTCCTGACCCCTACGCTCTGTGTGGTGTGTACTCCTGACCCCTACGCTCTGTGTATTATGTACTCCTGACCCCTACGCTCTGTGTATTATGTACTCCTGACCCCTACACTCTGTGTGTTATGTACTCCTGACCCCTACGCTCTGTGTGATATGTACTCCTGACCCCTGCGCTCTGTGTTATGTACTCCTGACCCCTACGCTCTGTGTGTTATGTACTCCTGACCCCTACGCTCTGTGTATTATGTACTCCTGACCCCTAGACTCTGTGTGTTATGTACTCCTGACCCCTACGCTCTGTGTGTGTATGTACTCCTGACCCCTACGCTCTGTGTGTTATGTACTCCTGACCCCTACGCTCTGTGTGTTAAGTATTCCTGACCCCTAGACTCTGTGTGGTGTGTACTCCTGACCCCTACGCTCTGTGTGATATGTACTCCTGACCCCTGCGCTCTGTGTGTTATGTACTCCTGACCCCTACGCTCTGTGTGTTAAGTACTCCTGACCCCTACGCTCTGTGTGTTATGTACTCCTGACCCCTACGCTCTGTGTGTTATGTACTCCTGACCCCTAGACTCTGTGTGGTATGTACTCCTGACCCCTACGCTCTGTGTGTTATGTACTCCTGACCCCTGCGCTCTGTGTGTGTAAGTACTCCTGACCCCTAGACTCTGTGTGGTATGTACTCCTGACCCCTACGCTCTGTGTGTTATGTACTCCTGACCCCTACGCTCTGTGTGTTATGTACTCCTGACCCCTACGCTCTGTGTGATATGTACTCCTGACCCCTGCGCTCTGTGTGTTATGTACTCCTGACCCCTACGCTCTGTGTGTTATGTACTCCTGACCCTTACGCTCTGTGTGGTATGTACTCCTGACCCCTACGCTCTGTGTGTTGTGTACTCTTGACCCCTACGCTCTGTGTGGTATGTACTCCTGACCCCTACACTCTGTGTAGTATGTACTCCTGACCCCTACGCTCTGTGTGTTATGTACTCCTGACCCCTACACTCTGTGTGTTATGTACTCCTGACCCCTACACTCTGTGTGGTATGTACTCCTGACCCCTACACTCTGTGTGTTATGTTCTCCTGACCCCTACACTCTGTGTGGTATGTACTCCTGACCCCTACACTCTGTGTGATATGCACTCCTGACCCCTACACTCTGTGTGGTATGTACTCCTGACCCCCTACACTCTGTGTGGTATGTACTCCTGACCCCTACACTCTGTGTGGTACGTACTCCTGACCCCTACACTCTGTGTGGTACGTACTCCTGACCCCTACACTCTGTGTGGTACGTACTCCTGACCCCTACACTCTGTGTGGTATGTACTCCTGACCCCTACACTCTGTGTGGTATGTATTATTGACCCTTGCACTATGTGCGTTATACACTCCTGGCTCCTACACTCTGTGTGTTATGTTCTCCTGACCCTTGCACTCTGTACGTTATACACGTTATGTACTCTTGACCCCTGCAACCTGTGTATTACAGACCCCTGACCCCTGCAACCTGTGTATTACAGACCCCTGACCCCTGCAACCTGTGTATTACAGACCCCTGACCCTGCAACCTGTGTATTACAGACCCCTGCAACCTGTGTATTACAGACCCCTGACCCCTGCAACCTGTGTATTACAGACCCCTGACCCCTGCAACCTGTGTATTACAGACCCCTGACCCCTGCAACCTGTGTATTACGCACACCTGACCCCTGGGGCTTGTGTGGGGTCACATGATGGATGTTTGGAGCGGATACGTCCCGGGTCCATGTCCATTGTCCCCCCCATTGCCTGTAATGTCTCTCAGCGCCCCCTAATGGCAGTGAAGATAAGTTGATGGTATTGCTGGAGCTCTGTCACCACAATGCAGGTCGGTAGATATAAGTGGGTAGGTGGGCGGGGTTTCCTGGGGGAAACTTTTTCGTAAAGTGCACCGGCCCTCTAACCACTTGCTGTCCGGGGCAATTTTTTTTTGCACACGTTAAGCCCGTGTTCACATACATGCGGTGCGGTACATCACATGTGATTCCCTCAGGAACCGCACCGCATTCCCTGCAGATCACATGCGATTTGTGTGCGGTGGGATTGGAGCCGTAGATTCCCTTCATTGTAACAGAGCGTCACGATTCTGCCCGCGATTCAAAATGCCGTAGTGTGAATAGGGCATCAATGGCACCCCAAACGCAATGCGGCTCCGGCGCGATTGTCACGCGACACGATTACGTGGCCATTTATCGCTCGACAATCAGAACCGCACCGCTTTTTCGGGTGCATTATAATGGGTAGCACCTGAACACCCCAAATGCGATGCGATTCTGGCGATCGAGGCGAAACGCGAGTTTGAAAAACATGCTGCTCTGGTCGCCCAAAAAAAGGAGCACGAGCGTCTTTTCCAGCAGCCCATGAAGTGAAGTGAAATGAGCGCAAAATCGCGTGCAAATCGCTCAACCAAAATGGCGAGCGGGCGTGCTTATTCCCACTACGCGAGAGCGCGACCGCAGCATTAGCTTTGCATTCCTTCGCGTTTCGTTTTGGAGCGAGTCGTGTCAATGGGCGGCCTTTACGGTCACTGAGTGTTTTTGCCGCGCGCCACATACCAACGAACGCCGCTGCGGTGCGACACGTATTTGTAGTGCGTTTGCGGCACTGAAATGAGCTGCCGAATGCACGTTTTGTCACGCGTTTCGGGAAACTTTTTACGTTTTTTTTGCCCGATTTGATACATTGTTGCTGAAATCTCCAGATTTTTCGGGAAATGTCGGGGAAAGGAGAAGTTCTGAATTGCGCTCGTCTCTCCAGGTAGGTGGGTGTTTCCCGCTCTCGCAGCGCGCCCGCCTCTTCCAGATCATTGCACTGTGAACCCTTCATTGGGTCATGGGACTGTCACGTGCGAACGCGGCGGCGGCGTTCAGGTCACATGACGCTCTCTATTTACGAGGCCATTAAGGTGTCCTTGTTGTCACTCGCAGGTTTACACACAAATCTATAAATACAGAGTGTGTTGATATACATTGCGCCTCCCCCCCCCCCCCCCCCCCCCCCGGGTCCCACACCCCCACCGCACCGTCCTGGCCCCCTGCACTCCCCTCATCCCTGCTCTCTGATTGGCTGATCACACCGCGGCCCTGACCTGGCACAGCCGTTCATGTCACCTACCAGATCTGGATATGAAGCCGGATTCTCATGGCCAAGTTCCCAGCACGCCGGGCCACTATCAGCGACGGGGAAAATATGTAAAAACTGTCAGAGCCCCCCCCACCCCCACCCAATGCAGCGAATAACTCACCTCTGCGACCCCTCCCCCCCACAACACAGCGAATAACTTGCCTCTGAGACGATTTGCTGCGCCAATCAGATGAAAAAAAATTGTAAGAGCATTCGATCAGATGAGAAAATACCTTAAGAACATTCGATCAGATGAAAATAGATCTTAAGAACATTCGATCAGATGAGAAATATATCTAAAGGACATTCGATCAGATGAGAAAATAGCTTAAGAGCATTCGATCAGATGAGAAAATACCTGAAGAACATTCGATCAGATGAGAAAATACATTAAAAACATTCGATCAGATGAAAATAGATCTTAAGAACATTCGATCAGATGAAAATAGATCTTAGGGCCCTCTAACCCCTTGTGTACTGTTTGATGTTACTGTTCTGTTTCATGTATTGTCCCCCCCTATTGTACAGCGCTGAGCAAACCCTTTGGCGCTATATAAACTCGATAAATAAATAAATAATAAATAAGAACATTCGATCAGATGAAAATAGATCTTAAGAACATTCGATCAGATGAGAAATATATCTAAAGGACATTCGATCAGATGAGAAAATATTTTAAGAACATTGAATCAGATGAAAAAGATCCTAAAACATTCGATCAGATGAGAAAAATACATTGAGAACATTCGATCAGATGAGAAAATAGCTGAAGAGCATTCGATCAGATGAGAAAATACCTTAAAAACATTAGATCAGATGGGGAAAATACCTTAAGGACATTCGATCAGATGAGAAAATACCTGAAGAACATTCGATCAGATGAGAAAAATAGCTGAAGAGCATTCGATCAGATGAGAAAATACCTTAAAAACATTAGATCAGATGGGAAAATACCTTAAGGACATTCGATCAGATGAGAAAATAGCTTAAGAACATTCGATCAGATGAGAAAATAGCTTAAGAACATTCGATCAGATGAAAAAATACCTGAAGAACATTCGATCAGATGAGA